AAACATAATGCCAAGAATAAGCGCAACTGAATGATATATGGGAGAGAGATTGGTACGAAAGAAAAACAGTTTGGGCTATGGATGAGAGCGTTTGTAATGTGCAAAGAGTGCTATGTCTGGCCAACATGAAGTTTCCAAGCTAGTGCGTCGTAAAAGAAAAGGCAGAAACATGTGCACTTTGGTAACCAAGAATTGATTGTTAACGCTGGTTCATTATAAGAGCTTAGCTACTTACAAGTTGTGAGAATGAGTGGGTGTACTACCGATCGCTACCAAATTTTATATTGTTGTTGAGTTGAATTCTGGGCTAGCAGGGATGCTGGGTGGGGGTTTGGTATCATGTTAGAGGGCACAATGTCCCGGTTCTCCGCGGTGTACCAGACATACCCCACTTTTGACTCTTAACATGTATGAGACTCGTCCTATGCTCAACCTGTTCCAAAACTGATCCAGTCAACACTACCACGACAAAAAGAGGGGGTGCGCCACTGGACTTTCCATTGGTCCATGCAGGCTCGGCGCCCTGTTGTACAACAGAGCACAACCGGCCTGTGCTCGTGGTAGCCGTCGGGCTCGTCTAGGGACGCGGAGGTGAAGGGTCTTGCGCAGACCTTTCTACCGCGCGCCAAGTCCTTTCTGATTGGGTTATGGAATACATGTAGGGTAGCAGTCATAATCGTAAAGAAAAGAAAAAGGGAAAGAAAATTAAGAAAAGTGTCGTTTTCAGATCTCGACTTTATGTATTTTACTCGTTTCATTGTCAATCCAAATTTAGTCCCCTTTTTTGTCACTTCGCTGGGGAATGAACGGTTCAATTTTGAGCGGTGATTACAAGCGGGTGGCCTAGACGAGCCGACCCTTCACATCTCATTTTACCGCTGGCGGGATCTAATAACCACAGTGTAATAAGGCTCCAAAAGGGACCACTTGTGGCCGCTTTCCTAGGAGGCTTATCACCCTCGCGGAAGGTCATAAGCCCCCTCCTTGCCATCAGACCCGGGTCCCCATTAGGGGTAGTCCGATGACCTCCTTTGAAGAGGGGAGGATGTCAATCGATATCCCGTTATGGGACCACACCGCACATTGGGCATGAGTTTTTTTTCAGACCGAGTGAAAAGACTGTTAGAGCTAGTTGTTAAGTGGCTTTCCTGACAAGTGACCGTTAGTTTAGAAAATCATGATGATTTAAGTAGCTATTTTTCCTTTTAGTTAATGTGCTATTCTAATTAATTATCTTGTCAGTTGTCCAATGGTCCGTTGTCCTGGCTGAACATCCTGTGTGGAGTTGTCTAGGATCCACGACAACTCGTTTTTTCGAATGTACGAAGCAAAAAAAAAAAAAAAGAGGGAGGGGCTGTGCAACACCAGGGGACCCCCCAAAACAATTTTGAGGCCATTCGGAGCAAAAGAAAAAAAAAAACGAAAATGATGCTAGGGGTGGGGAAGGTGGTGGGGGGGGAAGGTGGCGTTGAAGGCCCCTTGCTGTAGTTGTTGCATGTGTCTTCACACACACGCACACACACTATCTACACACACACCACACACACACACGCACTGTCTACACACACACACACTGTCTACTAGTATCTATACACGTGCTCACATACACACAAACACACACACTCAAGCACACACACTCAAGCACACACAGGACACACACACACACATACACACACACACACACACACACATGCACATGCACATGCACATGCACAAGCACAAGAGGAGGAGGAGGAGGAGGAGGAGGAGGAGGAGGAGGAAAGGGAGTAGTCTGTCACTACAGGACTAATGGCTGATCAGGAGGCCTTTTAAGGAGATCCCCCAAACTCCTCAAGAATTCTTTAACGGCGCAGACAGGACGGCGATCACAACCAAAGTCCTCTCAAGACTTAGACAGACTGGACACCCGCTCTGCAGCTCGGAGTTCGGGTATAGCATACCACCCAGAGCAACCTGCCGGTTTGTACCGGCCCTTGGGGTGTTTTCCCAAGTTGTCTAGCATCAGATACACCTGAACCCCTACTAAGTCCCATGCAAACACTGACTCACAATCCCTATCAGACCGCATGCACAAAACCTATCGACCTGGACAGAGGTGAGTCGATGCAGAAAGAGATGACAACTGACTCTCAGCAAGTACCAAGGTGAGTGTGCAGCATCCTCAGGGCAAAGGGATAGGGCCAGGGCTTGAAGAGATTATACCGCTCCTTGCTCTGCACTCCAGCTTGGTCAACAGTACCAGTCAGCGCTCGCTGGTCAATGCTGGTCAACGCTTGGTCAAACTTTGTCGGTCAACCCCCGGTCAACGCCTCTCAGCTCCGGTCAATGTTGGCTATGGCGGCTTCTTCTCACTTCGTCACTTTCGTCAACTCTCCCTCGTTCTTCCTTGCCCTTAGGTTCGGCTATGGGTGACCTCTCTCCTCTCGGCTGGCTATGGCTTCCCTAACCTTTGTCACCTCTTTCTCTCTCTCCCTTGTCTACTCCTCCTTCGTCCAGCTTGTCTTCTTCTTCCTCAGAGCTGGGCAGCTATGGCCACCGTCCACTATGGTGGACTATCTTCTTTTTCCTCACCGACATCCTTCTCTCTCTCTCTCTCTTTTCTCTTCTTCGCTTTCTTCTCCTCGTCGGGAGTCTCCTCTGTTGCGGCGACAGGTATTATGGCGTGGACAACGGGAACCAGCTCCGATACCAGTGGAATCAGACTCGACTTCAACTTCACATCCAGCATGCATACATACAGATGTCGATGGCAGAAGAACTTTCGCAACACAGAATCAGCAACAAGTGTGAGATGGCACACAACACCCACACGGAAAACTCAGATATATGACCCTTGGCCAGGAACTCAGTATAAGTCAACTTGTTACCCTAAATGTCCCACTCACGTACACACTTCTACTCTACACACTCTGTTGACGTCAGCAGCTTGGCGGCTATGGCCACCGTCGTCCTCCTCTGCCCTCTTCGTGCAGACCTCCTTGCACAAGTCACACTAGCAGCGCTCCCGCATGGCTCACAGGCGAATGGATGAATGGCTGAGCGCTGCCTCTTTATTTATACTGTTTGGACGGTGGTCTGGTTGGCCTCTGGTCTCAGGCCCAAGGTGTGTATAGCCCCACCTGGTACTTGCTGACTAGACAAGGTGGACTCGGACTGAGACTGGGACTGGACCGCGCTTTGCTGACTCATCGATGGACGACTGACTCCTACGACTTTGAAAGGTCAAGGTGACGACTCTAGAACCTCCTAGACTGCGACTAACTGACCCTTCGCAATACTTAGGGCTAACATGCTGCACCTGCACACGGGCCCACGGTTGCTGAGGGCCCCCCAGGCCGCATGCCCATCAGACAAGCGCCCTGGAGGCCCACGGCGGCCCGTAGCCCGCAGGTACGGATTTACAACAGCATTTATTTATTTATTTATTTGTCAGCTGTCCTATTTGTGTCTGTTCAGACGTCGTTTCGGACTTGCAGTCCCCAAGGCCGTGCCTTGGGCCAGGGACACCAGGAGGCAGGGCGTTCTGGGCCAGGTGCAGGGTCTGGATGTCCGGTCGGGACCCAGACCCGAAAGGCCCACGTTTTTGGGCAAGGCCAGAGGCACAGAGAGGCAAACCGGCCGGCCCAGCGTTGTATATAGCTGGGCCACGGCCAGGGGAGACAGACAGTTCGGATAGCTCACTTCTTGGGTGACATGCTGCTGGAGCAGCGCTGGGACTACAGCGCTACGCAGAGGTTAGAGGTAGAGGTGCAGGTAGGCAGAGGGGCGGAGGTTATACCTGCACGCAGCGGACTTACCTGGCACCATAGCTGGGACTCTGGCCGCAGAGCTGCACATGACAATGACAACGACGGCAGTCAGTACACGGCGGCAGTTACCTGCAGGTAAGACATTGGGAGGACGAGATCTTCTTCTTCTTTTCTGTCTCGCCCTCCATCTCGTCTCCCTCCTTCCTCCTCCTTCTTCTTCAGAGAGAGAGAGAGAGAGACAGAGAGATTACAGGCAGAGGTTACATCGGGCATTTGGGCCAGGATCTGATCCGACATTTCTGTGGCAGACATTGATTGGACACTCGGCAAGGGACTATTTTTGGACTTCGCTATCGTGATCGTGGTCTTCTCCCTTGCCTCCATCTCCGTCTCGCCTCTTCCCCCATCTCTCATCCATGGTATCTCCCCCATGTGTGTGTGCAAGGAGGGACCTTTCTTCTGTGTATGCGGTCCCTCCTCCCTCTCTTACATGTGTGATGTATGATGGGATGTCGCGTCAGTACCAGACAGGTCAGGTCATATCTTTGAGTGTTCCTTCGCGCTACATTGTGCTATTTGTATGTATCGGAATGTACATTGCTTGTTGATGCTTGGCTGACATTGCATTGTCCATTCTAGTCCTTTTCATCACTCTGTGAATCCTTGGCTCCATATACATTGCCCAACTGGGCATGTGTCGCCCTCGCTGACTCAGCTACCTACTGACTTCTAGAAGATCCTGGGCTGGGCTAGACAGACCCTCAGGACTACTAATCCTATCGTCTGTGGTTCAAGTCCGCATGAACATAACTAAGTACATAACACTCAGACCTACATTTTAAGAGACAGGTTGCGGGCTCAAGGCATGTAGGGCGTCGGTAACTGTACAAGGTTATGGGATAGGTCTATGGATCGAACCCTGGGATCTGCACTTGCCATACGAACTGGGTGAAAACCCTTTCAATCATCTCCTTGTCATTTCTGCTTGTCGGCATTATCCAATATTGGTAGACGAAAACACAATAATACAATATGCATGTGATTTGTAATTCCTATCTATGGTTTCCTGCTGAGGAACTTGTAAATGGTTTGAAGCGTGCCAAATTGAAGGTCAATTTTGAGATCAAACTGAAGGCCCACTCTTCTTCCTTTTAAGAAAAGCCTTCTCTAAAAGGATTTCATAACTCAATATACGTAGTGAGACAGGTGAATGCACTTGCGGTGGTCATTACTTTGTCATATTCTTTTCAGGTACTCAAGGAATGAGGAGACTATGGAAGACCAAGAAGAGACAGGCTGGAAATATATCCATGGTGATGTTTTCCGGTTTCCAAGGAACAAGTCATTGTTTGCAGCAGTACTGGGTAGTGGAGCCCAGCTCCTTACTCTGTAAGTACTGGGCAACCTTCCATGTTTAGCTTATCTGGCCATTGTACTTGTCATCCAATCAAATGGAAAAGAAAGAGTTTGCTTATGACCGGGGTGCTTAGTTGGAAGTTTGGTTCAATTCGTAACTTTTCATTTCACTAAAGCTCAATCACATCTCCATACATGTTTTCTATCATTCCATGATAGTTTGGGGAATATTTCCAAATAGATATGATCATGCGGGTGGTATGATATGAACAAAAGCTTAAACCTTGATGTTTGTCTCAACTACTCTCCAACAACCCCACATCAACAATTCTTGTAACAAGAAGTCGAATGCACTGAGGCTTCACTCATGGCAGAGCAGTATATGGAAGTTGCCCATAGAGGGTGCAAGGAAGAGAAAGAACACAGATAAAAGGATTTCATGTCTGAGTCAAGTCATGTGTGCAAATGTCAGAGCCCCAATGGGCCCAGTTCCATAAACTATAGCCGAACCAGCACCCTAAGCGGCAGAAACGCCAAAACAGGGCCATAGGTCATCAGAAGTCTGAAGTATTAGAGGTCTGGGAGGTCCAGTATCTGACAGGAAAGTCCAAGTTCCAGTCTAATCTTAGCAGCAGCATCCAAGGAAGGCCCACTGACTTCCGAAAAGGCATGGATGCAGCCAACAGGCCCTGGGAGTCCATTACCAGTGTGAAGGTGATAAACATGTCAATTGCAGCCTGCTATAAAGGCCGCTACAGTACCAGAACAACTCAATTGTTCACTGGCATGTTGCAGAAGCGCTGCCGTACTCGTGTACAATGGTCGGATGCAACCGGTCGGGCGTACTGGTAGAGTATCCTGGCACAAGGCGCAATACCTAGGACTAGCAAGGAAGAAGGAAGACAAAGTAGCTGACAGGGTTTGAGCACCAGGTGCATTCGGCGGGAGAGAGACAGATCAACCAAAGTAAGAGTGAAGAGAAAGGCCAAGAGCGAGCGAGAGAGAGAGAGAGAAAGAGAGAGAGAGAGAGAGAGAGAGAGAGAGAGAGAGAGAGAGAGAGAGAGAGAGAGAGAGAGAGAGAGAG